ATATGAAAGATACAGAAATGATACGTGATAAATTTTCTAGCGATCCAGATGATGAAAAAACAATTATAAATGTTCAAAGTTCTGAAAGTTCAACTTCAGTAACAACTTTCTTCTCAGCTCAAGATGATTCTATCGTTGCAGAAACTAAAAATGCTTCGCAGATAAATTTACGACAATTAATAACGGATATAGAAAATGTGAAAATCAATACGAATGATGATACAAAAGATATTGATGAAAATATTTCTAAAGAAGGTTCAGCGACTATTTGTCTTCGTGGCGTTACTATCATTATTATGCATGATATGAATGAAAATGCTCAAAGAATTGAAGTAGCCAGCTTATCTATGATTGATGTCATTGTTGCCATTAATGCAAGATCTAGAATTATAAATATACGTGCCTTTGTAGGCGATTTACAATTAGATAATCAGTTATTTGATCAAGGAGGTTTTGATTTTCCAGTAGTATTAATTAGCCAAAGTCCGCTTGTAATGAAAGAAACAACATTTTACACAAATAGTTGTTTAATAAATAAAATAGAACAAATAAAAGAAAATTCATTAATTGCGATTGATTATGTATTAGAAAATTGTCAAGGACAATTAAGAGGTATTTAATATTTTTATAATTTCTTTAAATTTCTTTAAATATTTTATATAAATTTTTTTATCTTGATAATTTTTTCAGCATCAAAAGATCTTCATATAAAAATTGCACCAATTAGTGCTTACATTGAAGATACATATATAACTCAATTATTAAATTATGCAACTTCAATGATACCATTTCGAGTTTTTGAATCAGATGACATGAAAAAAACAAGAATGTTAGTTTCAACTATTGGAGTATATATTCCCGATTATATAATGGTTGATGCAAAAATATTAAGTAGTCCATTAAGATTACAAAATTTAAAAATAGAACCTATATCAATCTTATTAAGTGTACATACTTCTATACATTTATATTTGGCTTTAGATCATTCTCCTTTGTATTTTAGTAATTTTGAAAAAAAAAATATTTTAACTACATCTTATAGACTTGGCAATGCAATTACAATGCATTATTTATCTGGTGCTATATTTGGGGCAGGTATGAAAATTATATTATATATCTAAATTTTTTTTTATATTAAATTTTACGTTTTAAAATATTTGTACTTTAGGTTGGGTAGTAGGATCTTTAGAAATATTAGGTTCACCTGGTAGTTTAGCACAAGCTCTTGGTTCAGGACTTCGAGATTTTATTTCTCTTCCATTTCAAGGTTTGTTACAAGGACCATGGGGTTTTATTGTTGGAATAACACATGGTTCAGCTAGCTTAATGAGACATGTTACAGCAGGTATTAATATATTAACATACGAACATGATAATTATAAAGCTTATTTATATTTTTATGTTTAATTTATTTTATATAGGTACATTAAACTCCGTAACGAAATTAGCATCTAGCGTAGCACGAAATTTGGATCGTTTAACACTCGATGAAGAACATCTTCAAAGGCAAGAAGAATCCCGTAGAATGCGTCCTCAAGGAATGGCGCAAGGATTATATCAAGGCTTGACAGGATTTGGAATGAGTCTTCTCGGTACTTAAATATATTTTTTTTTAATTTATTACTTTATATTAACAAAACTTTTCTTTATCTATTTAGCTGCAGTTGCGGGTTTGGCTCATCATCCTTTACAGCAAGTTTGGTCCGGAGAAATAACTACTAAAAGTCTCGTGACTGGTGTTGGACTTGGACTTGTTGGAGTAGTTACTAAACCTTTAAGTGGAGCTGCAGAATTATTAGCGTTGACAGGACAAGGTTTACTTCAAGGAGCTGGTTGGAATTCTTTGCCTTCAGTAAATAACTCGTCCTTAATGAAATTTATTTTAAATATATTTAATAAAATTACTTAAAAATAAATACATTTTTATAGCCTCGACAACGTCCAGTGGTTCAATATACATCGGGCAATAATAATGCAACTATTAGATATGCTTGGTGGTTATTACCTTTACTTGAAAATAATCATGGAAATATCTTGCATGTTACTAATGCAGATTACTTAATCCAGCAAGGCACTAGTCGTCCTATAACGTTAGTTCTAACACGACATGCGTTGTTAATAGTTAACACGGCTGAAGATAATGTAGAACGAATATTTTTATTAAAAGATTTAACGAGTGCCGATCATCATTTGGAATCGACGATATGTTTATATTGTTCTCCTGAAATGATACAAACTAACAGAGCTATATCTCCAGCACCATATGAAGTATAATATATATTTTACGATTTTTTTATTAAATGTAATTAAATATAATATATATATATAATATAATTTTTAATAATATTTCTGTTGATAGATGGATCGTGAAATGCGAGCACGAGTAGCGGAATATGTACGAACTAGTAGTACTGGTTTAGCTAGTGTTTCTACAAATAGTGATGTACAATCTGATATTTTTGAGAACACTACTCCTAATTCTGATCGTACACTCACATTTTATGTTTCCCCAGATTCGCGTAATTATTTATTATCGCTATTTAACATCGCCAAACGACAAAGTCAAGGTAGTGGATTTACAGTGTTATAATGAATAAGTAGAATGTATTAGATTATTTTCTTGTATTCAAAAGTAGAAACAGTGATTAACGCTCTGCTTCTAAAAAATGAAAAGTGATAAAATAGTATTATCTGATTTAAAAATTATTTTTAAATGTGATGTGCAAAAAAAGTTCGAATTACACAATATACATGTGTACATATTTAGAGCAACATTTTTGATTTTATTTTAAGTAATAAATTTAAATTTTTGGATTTTATTTCATCTTATAATATATTGCACAGAATAATACTATGCACAATTTAAAGAAATGTTCTTATATAAAAAAAAAAATGCTTTTTCAATTTTTATATAAAAATTTATGATTAAAAATGATTAAAAAAACTCTTTTCACAAATCTTGTTGTAAAATTTAATAAATAATATATATAATGTACATATCATAAAAAAATCATGAAAGTATGTTTGCAAATTTAAGTATGTGATCAATGCATTTTATTAATATAATATATATTACATTCTGTGCAAATATTTCATGCAACATTTGTAACAAAACATATGATAAAGGACAAATTTTTTGTGACTTAAAAATATCTATATGTAATGTATTATCATTTATTTAATATTTGATATGTATGAATTGAAAATAGAATGCAATAAAATATAAAAAATTTTATATATTTAGTCAAAATAATTATTATATTTTATTTACAATATTGAATATAAAATATTCATAATTAATAATCCAACAATATAAATAATATATAATAATAGAAAATAATTTAATCGTAAATCCGTTGTATCTCATTATTTTTATAAGGTATGCCACAAGATATACACTTATTATTTCCAATAGATGTTAGGATTTTTCTACATAAAACATGCTTGCATGGAAGTTGATAAAAAATGCCATTAGGACAACAGGAACAATTAGTTAACTTTGAATCATTCTTTGGAATGTTATTAAAACGTTTTAAATTAGGTACTGATATATTAATATCAAAATGTATTTCATTATTAAAATTTAAATCATCTGTATCAGTACAATTATTTTTTGTTTCATTTTCTGTGTCTATAGACACAGGTACATAAGAATTGGCAGTAATTTTTTTCTTTACTAATTTATTAATTGAACTAGAAAGAGTTCGTTTCTGAGATATTACAACTGGTAATTTATGACAGAGTTTATTATTTGTTTGTGTAATAGAACAATGCAATTTTGGTTTTATATTATTTGAACTTTTAATTATATTTCTTTTTAATAAATACTGAGGAACTTCTGCTATTTTTTTATCTGTTATATTTGAAGATATTGCGCGACCTAATACTCTTGGCAATTTTTTAATTTCTTCTACATTACTATTTTCAAGTAAAAATTTATCTATCCGTATTTTTAAAGCACTTGCTATAACAGGTTTACGATTTTCGCTAAATGGTAAACCAGTAAAAGGATCTGTTAATCTTCTTCCCCATATTGCTTCATTTTCTTCATGTTTCAATAATGTACTCTGGTCAATTATTTTTCCACTTGGTAATAGAATTGGTTGTGTCATTATTTCATAAGTAATAGCATCTAAGAAACATTCTGGAACTTGTAAATTTGATTCCAATGTTTCTCTAAAACAATATATGCATAAATAGAATTAATAAATCTTATATCAGTACATATATTAAAAAATAATTTCATATTTACTTGTTATCTGTAATAACAAATGAATCTTTATTCTCAGATGTTTGTATAGATTCAACTAAACAAGATTGTTGTTTGAACCACAGAGTAGAAATATTGGCTATTATGTCTTTTCCACAACGTGGTGATACTGTTCCCCATACTTCAATCTTACCTAATGCAGGTACTGAATTCTTTGTTTTACATATACATATTCTTAAACTATTTATATATGTTGTTAAGTAGCGCAGAGAAGGTTTTATATAAAGTTTTAAAAAATTTGGTGGAGCAGAAATTGTTTCATGCTTAATATTTGATGGACAGAATAATAATCCAGTATTTATGGAATCCAAAAATCCAGTAGCTAATAAAGCATAAGGCACACTAGTATCATTACTAGTTTTGGCATATAATTGAAAACCTGATGACTTTTGAGAACCAACTTGTGGCCAAATTAAAATATGATTGATACATACATTACATAAAAAAGTAATATCAATATTTATAGGAGGCTTGATACAAGCATATGCTAAAAATCCTTTATCAGAATTAGTTATTAAATTAGTAACTTCATATCCTTCTGTATTGATAGTATCACTATGAATTTCTGGTCTTAAACGAGGATCACAAAAGTTGAAAAGCATTTCTTCGCTTTAGAAGCACATACAATGACATTTTTTAAAAAAAATTGCAATTTTTAATCATTTTACAAGAAATTTTCCTTCTCTTTTGAAAAATCTATTTTATATAACCTATTTACTTTTCTGTCACACTCACACTATAGTTTCAGATTAGGTTAGTATTGGTATTGAAATGCGTCCAATCTTTTGAATGAGATGTGAAAGCACGTGGACAAAGTAAGATAAATTTTTTAACTAAAAATAATTATTATTGTTGTAATAAATGGAATCAGTAACAATAAAAATGGAAGTTGACGATAGCATGAAAGAAGCAGATAGTGGTGATGTTATAGAAATTAGTTATGAAGAAAAACTCAAATATACAAATCCTATAGCTAAACCTATGGCTTCAAAGAAATTAACCAAAAAAATTTATAAATGTATTAAAAAAGGTGAGCTTTTTAAATCCTGAAGTTTATATAAAATTTTAATGTAATATAAAATAATTTCTTTAAAATTTCTTAGTTAACATATTTATTTTGATATTTTTTTTTAATTTGCAACATAACCATTTCAGCTTCAAAACATAAATCTTATCTTCGAAATGGTTTAAAAGATGTTCAAAAACATCTTCGGAAAGGAGAAAAAGGGTAATGTATTTTTACTTATAAATACATATTAAAATTTTGTTATAATTAAAATATTATTAATATAAAAACACTTTGTGTATTTTTAATAGATTGGTAGTATTTGCTGGAGATGTTTTTCCAATAGAAATTATGTGTCATTTACCAATTGTATGTGAAGATAAGAACATTCCATATTGTTACACACCTTCGAGACAAGATATTGGTACTGCTATGGGAGTGAAAAGAGGTAGTCTTATGGTACTTATTAAAGAGCATGAAGAATATAAAGATCTTTATGAAGAAATTAAGTCAAACATGGTAACATTATCAATGCCATTATAAGCATATGTGCAATCTTTTGCATTTTATTCATTTTGTAAATAGAATATTACAATACGAATTTTTTTTCAAAAGTTTTTTATCAGATATTATATCTTATTTTATAAACATCTTTCAATATAAACAAATATATCAAACAAAAATTTATCGTATAAATTATTATAATATAATCATTTTGATATATAACAAATATTTTAACATAAATTACTATAAAATAATATGTAATGAATCTAAAAAAAGAAAAAAAATAAAATAGAATTTTTTTATCTTAATCTAATATTTTTTTTGTTTAAAGATTATAAGTTATATTTTTATCTTCTTTTTATAATAAAAAAAGTTTATAAAATTTGTGTTAGAAATTAATTGCAAGTATTTTTTGATATTAAAATGAAAATAATATATATTGTTCAAAATGTATGAAATTGATTTTCAAACACAATTTTTAAAAATATCAATTTTAGTTAAAAATTAAATTTATTTATCACCTCTCTCTGTTTCTGTGCATTTGAAAATAGAATATTAAAATTTAGCTTAAGATAAAAATCATATTTTTCAAAGCGGTATGCATATATACGTATATACAGCTTTACTTCTTATTCTTAAGTGAATAAAATTAAATTTGACATAAATGTCATTATTTCGATTAACGATCATCGAGATATCCGAAAATCAATATGGATTGTCAGTTGAGACCTCCAAACAATCGGTTTTCTATTATTTTTGTTTTCATTATGATTCTCAAGATATCTTTGAATGTTATGTCTAAAGATAATTATAAAATTTGAAATTTATTAAATAGTGTTTGTTCGATAATACTATTCATTTGCTGTCTGTCATATATTTATTTTGTGTCCAATTATTGGCGCATAAATATTTAAATTTGAAAATGTTCTCGAATATGAAGATTAAAAATAACTTATAATTGGTCGTAAAATATAAGAAAAAGAATAGAAAAATTAAGTATACGGAATAGTTAAAAATTTAAAACATAAATCTTAATATAGAAACATTAAGAATTGTTAGCCATAAGATTTAATTCATATTAAATTTTTTGAAAAATTGTACACGTTCATTAATATGAAACATTGTAATAATTTTTTATCAATACCTATGTTTAATTCTTAATCTGATCAAATTATTTAAATTTCAGTAACAAATGAATTAATTCGATTCGAAACAGAGGTCGCAATTGCAACAATCATTCTCGGCTTAGGATCGAAGGCTTTGCGAGCATATAAATTTAAAATTTAAAATAAAAAAACACGAATGAATAAGTACATTGAGAAGTTCAAAATTTTTTACTTTAAAGAAAATAACAATAAAAAAGATTTCTATTCATTGATATAAATTATTCTTACCTTAAATTTTATATTTACAATCATTGCATTTATAATTTTAAATGCTCGCAAATGCCTTGTACGCATTGACAAAATGTATTTAACCTAAACTTTTGGGGAATTATGACTAAAATGCATATGAAAATTAAAGTTTTCGATCTCCTATCGCTTTATATCTTCGTTATATAACTGTATCCTTAATCCTACTTTACTGACTTCGGTATAAAATATACATTTAGGAATGACGAAGAATAACATTGACATTAAAATTGACATAGCGTACAAGTGGGACGTTATTCTCACCCTCGCCGAAACAGATATATACATCGCGTATACATTATTTCCGTTAATTTCTTACAAATCAGGCAGTAATGCATCTTATGGCTGCAATTTTTTAATTTTTCTTCTCCTTTTCAATTCGTTTCAAATATTTGAATTTAATAATTTGAATAATTATTTCAAAACTTTACGAATTTATCACGCGTGTTTGTACATGTTTTTAAATACAAGATATATAATGTAAAATTACGAGTCATGTGTATTTGCAAATTTTAATTTTTTCCTCTCATTTTCTCTCATTCATTCACTCATTCAAACATACTTTCATTGCGAAATAATGCAAGGGAATCGATTGAATAATGAATCGATTGAATAATCACGACAAAAAATGATCTAACGAGTATTAAATATTTGTAATACCGACTGCTAATAGTACAGGTTGCTTCATATTCTAATTGAAGATTTATGCATGATCATAACTGGCTTGAACGATGCATAATTACGCTTCTTCGATATACAAGGACCAATTTGTGCCTTATAAAGTACAAGTTGCTAAGAAAATATACAATATACGCGAAGATTCACTCTGACACAGAAATACATCTAACATAACATCGTTCTATATTTTACGAACGGTGGATTCGTATAATTATATAATCATTATGAATAATCGATTCACTCTCATTCTTTCATTATCTAGCTATTAATTATTCTTACCGATGTAATCGCAATTTATAATTCTAAAAGTAACCCATTACCGTGATCGATATGTTGCAGTTTTTATTGGACGATCCTACTTATATCGATTGAACTGCATATGTCCTCATCATTTAATCGACAATTAAGATGAAAATAGTAATTTCACTTAGCCATAAATTGTTATAAAATAGTAGAAATACGAGAGGTCTCCTCGCATTCGAAGAAATCGTAATTTTGTCGCATGGAAACCCAAGAAATGAAGCATGGCCTGTTGTCGGATGCTGTACAAACAATGTAAAAATCCGCGTTGATTTATCATTAATAGTTATTTCTTATAGAACTATATTTACCGCTTAATATAATCACGCTCTATTATGGACTAAAGCTATTGCTCGTTTTCTTCAGTCTAACACGCATCGATAAAAGTACGGCAAATTTTTATCGTCTCTTGGAAATATTTTTCCTTCAGCGGCTTTTTCTGATTCAGATTTTATTCTCCAACATTTCCCTCCTACTCCCTTTTTGTAAAATTAAATTGTAATTTTATTATTAGGGAGAGGGAAGTGGAAATTATAATAATCATTTAAGTAAATACTGTCCAAGATTTCTTATTATTTAGATGCGATATTATTTAGAGCGATTTGGTATAAAATGCAATTCGGATTTGATGCATTCTAAAATTCTTTTTGAAATTGATTTAGAAATTTTCTTGTAAGAATATACAGAAATCTTGAACAATATTAACAGAAAAAATTTGAAAAATCTCAAAGATTTTAACAGCCACCGAAATATCTCTTGTATAAAAATCACTTATGTGATCAGAATGGATGAGCAATTTAAAGCATTCACGTTCTTCACATTCGAAAAACGTGCCGTGCTCATTGACGGAAAATGGGATGCAAGATTTATTTTTTCAACTTATATTGTGATTTATTTTTTTTTCTGCAATTCGTATTTGTAATCAAAAACATATTAAAACTGTCCAGGTGATTCAACATCACCCTGTTTAAAGGTCGCTGTGGCAGCAACGACGAATCGTCAATAAAAGGCACCATCTTGTTTTATTCGCTTACAAACGACGGACGCCCGTTTGAAATTCTAAAAGATCGTACACATTTTAAATAGATTTTTCAACAATATAGATATCAGATTCATCTCCATTGAAATTGTACAAAAGATACAGTTTCACCAATTATTTTGGAATTACAATTCATTTACGTTATTTTTCAAAACAAAGAAAAAGAAGAAACGTACATTAGACAGAAATATTCATTTTCATTGCGTACGACAAACAAGATTGATAAAAAATTAGAGGATCTATTTCCTCTTTTTTTTATCTTTTTTTGCTTTTAGGCATCCTCAATGTGCATAAATTGTTATCGGCGTTTAAATTTTCTTAAGTATAAATTTGTAGCAGTATCAAAATAGTAAAAATGGTGCATATGAAGACCATGAGCACGGGTAGGACCAAAATGAATCGGATTGAGCGGCGTAGGCCGCTGGGCTCTTGTCATACAACCTGTTCACCAGACTCGATCGAGTCGAACAAAGGTCGTTCAGATTGTGGATCGTTGTTCGCTGATGATGCTGTACCTTCACCACCGCTGGAACTTTCTCTTCTAGTTTTACTTGTGCCAGAAAAGCATAAACAACCGGACTGATTACGATTTCTTTTTAATGTTGGCTTATTCTCTCGATCACGTTCCGCTAAACATTTTTGATAATAATCGTAATCTTTTAAATACCTGTTTAACAAAAAAAATAATTCATAATTTTAATTATTTAATTATTTCTAAATATAAAATGAATCAATTTCCAGCTTAAAATCCTGCATTCTAAATGTTATTACATACCACACTGGAGGCCATCGATGCTCATTTAAATATTCTTGATTCTCTGGATGTAAAAGACGCACACTTCGTGGAGACATCTTGCACAATTTGTTATAATTCACGCATAAATAGTTCATACACCAGTCAGCTAGTTGATCGGCGTTATGCAACTGCGACATGCAAATTGGAGAATGAGCTATCAGAAATTGGACTCATGGATCGATGTACTGGTCGTTGAAAGAAGAGCTGACCTTGCACGGTTCCAGTAATCTCAGACAGTTCTCCACGGCCTCGTTTCCCTCGTTTTGAGACAATCTCTCGAGATCTTCGATTACTCTGCTCTCGACCAAGTTTACTAGTCGTGGTAAGCAAAGACGATTTGCCAATTCTAAGAGGTTCAAACATCTGGCAGAGGAAATTGCTGGCACTTCATCCGTATAGAGATAACAAAGCAGTTTGTGAAATGTATATTCGCGTACACCAGGAAACACTATCTGTTCAATGAATTTTATTATATATCAGAACAAACGTTTAAAATAATTTTTAAAAAGAAAAATACTTACTACTTTTGCGCTGCTTTCACGAAAATCACCGGAGAACATAGCTTTCATCACATCGCATCGGGCAGTGAGAATTGCTTTATGGGCTGGAACACTTCCATCATCTAATTCAAATGTTACATCGGCAAAGAGTCCTAAAAAAAATCATATTTTATGATTGAAAACAAGAAATAATTATTTTGAATTAAATTTTTACCAATATTCTACCTTGTTCTAAACAAATATCTTCTAAACGTTGTCTCACTACGTGTTTGTAGCGATTATTAAGATCATTATTAAATTGATCTCTAGTTTGTAGAGTTCCAAGCACCATCAACAATTGCGGAAGCTCCAAGAATTCCGCTGCCTGTCTAATTTCCTGTATGTGAAAGAAGATAAAATTAACCAATATTTTTCTATAATAGAACATGATTATGAAATGAAATTTTTAAAATCCATTTTTAGATTGTCAGCTGAAAAAAAATTAATAATGTTTTCCATGCACCCATGATCAATGATTTAATGATATTTAATGATTCTTAAAAGTAGAAACCTTTTACATAAATTTATATATATTTTATGAATCACAATTAATATATATATATAATTTATATATCATCTAAAATTTGTTTAAAATTTATTTATAAATAAGTAACATGCTAAAATGATAACAAATATGATAATAATCTAATATATTGTAGAAAACGGTGAATCGATATTTCTTTTAGCTAATGTCTATACATTATGCGTGCGTATACAATATCATGTATGTGTATGCTCTTATCAGCAAACATATTTCACATTGTACTAACCAGTAGAAGCCCAATAGGAGCTGTCTGAAAGAATAGAGCCGCGTTAGTTACCGCATACCGCACTGGTAGCATATTTAAGCTTTAAACTTACTATTTGCACAAAGTATTCCTCCAACAAGAAAAATATTTTACTTTACGGCTTTATCTTCGATCCAAAATAGTAAAACCCACCAACAGTATATTTGAATATACAAATATTACAAAATGTTCACACAATTTTCTGGAACATCTACCAATTGATCTAATCTTTAAAAAAATTAACTTATTTTTTCAATAGCTATTTATATAGATTTACCGTAACTATACTTATATAGTTTAAAAGGAAAAGTACAAAACTTATTTAGATTATTATATACATTTATTATATAAAAATTATAAATAAATGTTTTTTTCTTCTATGCAATAATGATGTAAAAAATCGATCTACACAAGTTATTGCATCAATTAAACAAGAAAATTTTAATAATCCACGGGTGTAGTTGCCCGCATAGATAATTCTATCGACGCAACGTACTTGTAGATCGTGATACCGTTTATCCAAGCTGCCCGTATAAATGAACTGCAAACATTGCTGCATTGCCTGCGGCGTAATTAACTTAGACAGCGTAACCACTGTCGTTGATTGCTGCATTCCGTTTGTATTCTCAGTCTATAAATAAATTAAATAGAAAAAGAATAATGATCGAGATTTTATTATAAATTAAACAGAGAAATATTTAATTAGTTCTTATATTTAGTTTCTTATATAGAAACTTACCAAACATACACGAATGTTTTGGAAGGCAGGATGATTAAGATCTCTGGTAGTACCAGTCGGTTTCTTTTGGTTGTCCATGGTGGGCAGTACTTGAAAGCTCGAACGTCGCTTCAATTGTTCCCAAACTCTATATTTTTCATAAAATTTATTTAATTTCATTCAAAATCACTGTATCATATTATTATTATTAATTATTTTTGAATAAATGGTAAGTAAAATAAAATATTTATAATATATTCTATAAAGGTTTTCATTTCTTTTAAATATTAAATATTTAATGCATGTTTCTAAACTAGATCGTATAACTATGCTATAATTTGAACAGATTTACCAGATAAACTTACTTTGCAGGTTTTGATTGATCGATACGAATCAGGCACTCGGTGTCATCATTGAAATCACCGACCGTTGCTTCACCAAACGTACTTACCTTCAGAAGAATAAAAGATGTTTATAAGTAAGATAACAAAATAGTAAAAAAATGATAAGAAATATGAAACACCATGCTAGATTCGCTAGAACTTCGAGGTGTTTGCTCTTGAACAAGTTCCATAGAGAAAAGTCGATGAAATGCAGGCGATGCAGCGGCTAAAAGACACCTATGAGCGGAAAACGTGCAGTTTCCGGCTATTAAAGTCACGTCAGTGTGAACAGGCTTTGTCCATAGTGTCTTCATATTCTCTTCATAAGTGCTTGCGGCTAGACACACTTCCGGTGGAACAGGTTTCGGTGGACAAAATGGTGCCTGAAATTGATAATTAATATTATCAATAAATTAAACTATTATTTTTCAATATTTTGATTAATTCATTTCTTCAATTTATTCTTGAAAAATATTAATTTAATTTAAAAAATATTATTAATATTGAATTTTTTCGTATTTTTTTCATATTATAAATTGGAATCTTCATAGTAAATGAGAATAAATTTTAATCATTTAGATGAATTATTTCAATATAAATTCAATTAATATTAATATAAATTAATTTTTTTTTTTTTTTTAGTAAACTTAATAGAACTTTATATACCTGAAGCAGAGGTCTCTGCACCCTTTTCAAGTTCGTCATCCAAAATCGTTGCTGACGCCTTGCAATTAAGGCAGCACGTATCGAATTTTCGAACACTTCATTAACACCGTAATACGTGAAGACACTGGTCTCGTAATAACAAACGCCAAGTTCACGTGCAACGGCTCGAGCTTGATCGGGCATTACCAGATCGCTCTTCCTCGTAGCTCTAAAAATCATTTATCTCAGTAAAAATAATTCCAAATTAATATCAACTCTAAAGGACATCGCTTATGAAACGTGTTCTTATAAAAGTATTATCCAGAACGATCGTAAAGAAAATCCTGAAAGTCACTATGAACTTTAAGAATCTCTTGAGAGCTTCTGATATGTCAAGGCTCAGTTAATCTCCTTTCATATCACGTGGTATATTTGAATAAAAATTTCATTACCTAAACCAAAATATTCTTCTAATCTGTCAATATGTTAATAAAAAACTCGAAGTTTCGATAATTCTTCATAATCGCCAATACACTCAATTGACAAGAAAAAGATAGTTTCTGCTTAATAAGAACAGTGTATCTGATCGGGAAAGAATCATGGAGCATCTGTGGAATCAATACTTCGACACACTTCGCCGAAGAGGTCGATCGTTAAAGAAGCATCAATGCATTTGAACGAGGTCCAATATAGAATGAAAAAATCGATTTGAGAAAGGTGTGTTGCTTCTAAATATGGAAAAGGAAAATGCAATTTAACATAGTTGTTGATAAAGATAACGTACCTCACGAACGGACTTCGATCACGAAAATAGCTCAAATAAGTTTCATCTCGATACATGTAACGCAGATCGTTCTTGCATCCCACTAACAGCACGGGGGTCTGCGGGCAAAACCGTCGTATTTCTGGGTACCACATCGCCTTGCAATTCCGTAGCGAAACGGGATTGGTTATGGAGAAACATAGTAGCACGACGTCTGATCTGTATTTATAGAATTCGATTTTTTAATTAATTATAATAGCATTTATAATATTTAATAATATTTTTTATTATTTAAGAACGAAAAGAAAAAGAGATAATTGCAAAAATTGAAATTTATTTTTTTGTTTTAGTGGAAAAAATATGAAATCCATGATTGAAAAACAGAATAGAAATTTGTTGAGATAATTATTTGATATAATTTTACCTGCCGTACGCGAAACGTCGATCTTTTTCGTGATCACCAAATGTGTCCCAAAGTCGCAGGGAGACATTCACGTTATCGACTACTTCCCAGGATCGTTCTAAGACCTGATGGATTAAAATAAATCATATTTTTTTTATTTTTGTCATATTTTCACGATCATAATCATTTTTGATATCTATAAATAAATTAATGAATGAAAACTAGTAGATTTATAAATGAATTAACTAATAGAAGTCATATATAAACAAGAATTCTTATTAATAATAAAATATGACATTTGTTTAAATTAGACATAAAATCTACACTTTCATGAAGATGAAAATACAATATAGAAATTCGAAATCTTCTAGAATAATAATTTTAGAGTAAATATTTATTTCCAGATTAAAAATTCTGAAATCTGAAACCCATTCTTCAATTGCAATTTATTACTTATCCATTATAGCAAATGCAATCTATATGCAATCATTCATTTTTCAATATTGAAGAAAAATATTGATCAAAGAACAATTGCAGATTAAAATTTTTCATTTATTTGTACAATTTCTACAATTTTTATACTTTCTTGTTCAAATAATTCTTACGACTTTCACTTTAAAATCTCGATGAAATTATTAATATAACTAATATATTAATTACTTGAATTTCAAAATTAATTTTCTTTTTCGTGTGCATAGGTCAGGAGGGACAAAATTGCAAAAGCAATTACTTATCGCAGTTAACCATGAATAAGTAAAACCGCAGATATCGAATCTCCAGATACTCTATTAAAATCATCGCAATTACCAAATTGAACTCCTACCGAATGATTTACGGACACCTACAACATATTAGCACAATTATCGACAACCTCATGAACTTACGTCCTTGTATATCCTGTACTGGTCGATGGCCCAAACGGTGGGCACGTGAGTTGTCAAAAGTTGCGAAAGTGACACGTGTTTATTGCAGGCCCTTGCGCATATCAGCCTGGTCTTTCCAACTGCCGTGTCACCGACGACCACACACTTGACCAGTTCCTGATGCGGCTGCTCATTGTCCATCACCGACAATCACCCCTTCTCATCCAATACACCCACCCACGTGCCAGGTCGTTTGAACACGCGGTTACCTCCGTTGCTACCGTTCTGTCGATCGAATGGCGCAATGTCCACATCCGATCTTCACAAAATCAAAGATGATGCCGCGTGTCGATCCTCGCGGTCCCTTTCTCAAGCTAACAATGCTGAAATTTATACATATACCGTGAATAACAATGGATTTGCACATGATGTTCTTAAAAAAATTTCCAAAAATTATCTAATAATTAGAAATTAGAAGAAAAAAAATTATTTAAATACAAACAGAGAAATATAAATACGTTCCACATAAAGATCTTCGTTGCTTGATATAATTGTATAATTGTTGAATTGTATAACATACTTTGAGCCATGTATTTGATTATTTGTTTGAGATGGTTTATGATTTTTTGATGTTTTATTTTTTTCTTTTTTTTTTAAGATTAATTGGATTTTTGTAAAAGAAAGAGATTTTGGACGTAAAATAATGCAAGACAAATGCAAATACAAATTTGAAAATGTGAAGTGAATCTTATGAGAAATTAAGATTTAAAAGAAAAATGTAAATTTAAGATAAATCAGAGATTTCCAATTTTTATAAATTAAACTATAATATAAAAACCAGAAGTCATTAATAAAATTCATTTCAAAGGATTAAAAGTTAACTGAAAAGTATATTACTTTAATGCAAAAGTAACTACCAACCGTTAAAAATCTCAAATAATACAAGATTTTATTTTTCGTTGCATCCTATGTATTTCAAAGACTTTAAAACAACGAAAAGATTCCAAAACAAAAATGAGATCAGATCTTGAATAGAAAAGTATTTCAATGAACTCTTGAACAAAAAAGTATTTCAATGAACTCTTGAACAGAAAAGTATTTCAATGAACTCTTGAACGTGGGTCTACGCTCCAAATTGGCGTTTCAACGCAAAATTAGTAAGTCGCTGATAACGATGCAGACACGTGCAGACATGATGTCGTTCGGTCACGTAGGCGTGAATAGATTATTTTAAGCTTACGTGCAATGTTCAGACGTCCAGGCACCGTGAATATATATGTATACGCAGAATGCCTATTGATTTGACCCCGCAAGCGCCTTCACTATATTTAGTATCGAACGTTCGTTACTTCAACCTCAACCTTAGCCTATCACCTTAACCCTGAACCGAACTATGGACACAAGGGATTTGTCCTGTTCGTGGATGAAGTTTGAACCATCGACGGTGTATAGAATGACACTGTCATGGATGGTATCACAGTGCTTTTTAACCGAACTTCAAACCTTCGCTTGGTCCGGTTCGCACCAATTTTCACCGAAACTTACTGGCTTCTAATTTATACTAGGCACGAAACCCAAGATATTTTCAAGACAATTTGTGACGTTCGGTTCGGTTATACATAGATTAGGTCAATCCGAATGTGGAAACGGTAGAGATCTTGATTCGTCACGAAATACTTGAATAGATTAAACGTTGATTTCCTTTGCATTTAAGTAGATTGTATATTATCTCTTGTAATCACCTTGAATTAATATTTTATTATTAATAATTCAAACAAACAAATTAAAAAATCAATTTTCAATGAAAAAAAATTATAACCTCAAATTTTTTCAGAAAAAATGATAACAAGTTATTAATTCTTTCAGAATTTATTTACAGATACCTAAAAAAAATCAATCATTAATAACAGAAACATTTTCTTATAATTTTTTTATAAAAAAGATAGAAAAATATTAAATAAATATATTTATTTAATTATTTCTATTACTAAATTAAGTAATATTATAATGTATGTTGTATGTATGCAACATTGAGCATAAAAAGATTAAAAGATCTCTATCAAATTAAATAAATCTATTTTTCATATTTGATCATTTTTTCTAAATGGATTTTTTTTATTTGCATAATGTAAGCACATATTTAACCAAAGAAAAAATTTAATAAGATCGAAACTTACATAAAAAGTATATCAAAAAAATAAACAGATATATTATATTTACAATTCGATCAATTAACTGTCAAATATGAATAAGAGTATAAGACAGGTGAGACAGTCGCATGACAGGAGAAGCAACGTTATTCCGTCCCTGGCTATGCTATAAAACCTATATTTTATGCGGACACGTCGATAATCACTAGATGACATGTTTATAACATATATGCAGAATAATCACCACATCATGATATGAAAATCACATATATGAATGCGAATAAGAATTCTTTATTTTAAAAATTAGATTATTTGTAAATATAAAATAAATACTAATTCCTCAATTATTGAAGATTTACTATCAAGTCATCTTATTAATTATCTAATAAATATGTATCTAAATATAAATATTTAAATAAGTTTGACGTATAAATTTAATAATAAAAACTATTTAATATATAGTAAAAGAAAAGAAATTTTTTGTTAAAGATAAAAAGAATATAAATTATTAAAATAATTACTCAAAAAAAAATAATTTTGCAAGTCAATTGTATACCTAACAGTCAAGAAAACTTTCCAATAAATCATTAAAGAAAAAGAAAAAAAAGATCGAATTTTAAAGAACACGACAATCGATAATGGCAGCAGTGCGGTCGAGAATCGTACGATTACTTATGCATCGACAATTAAATATCGTTTCCATTGTCGCAACTCATATTACAAGTTACAAGTTGTTGTCGATTTCTCGCAAGGTCTTATCGATCTGCAATAGCTCGATTACGTGACGTATGAAGATTGTAATGAATTACCGAACGATCGGAAATGATCAACGATTCGAAAGATGAAAAGAATACACATTTGAATTTATTGTGCAATTATTAATTTAGAAATAAGTGCAGAGAATTTTTATTGCAAACAGTTGATTTTTAATCATATGTCATGATTATGATTTTCCATTTTAATATTAATTTTTTAGATCTTAAAAAATTGAAAATTATTAGCTAAATTTTATAGGTTAAAGATTAATAAATTCTGTTATATAAAAAAAATTTAAGAATAAAACAAGAAATGATCTACAATGAATTTTTAAATTAATTTTTAAATTAAAAATCAATTGATTTTTTTAATTTTAATTATAGAATAATATTTATATGTAAAATAAAAAATTACATTTTAAAGAATTGATTGCCATTTTTATAACAATTCTTTGGATTTAGATTCATTATAAATTCTATAAAATTTAAAAATTGTTTTGTATTATTTATTTAATAAGGATAAATATTGTAACTTATAAGAGTATAAATGTTATAATTTTATACATTACATATAATTATTTTAAATTACGCTAAAAACTAAAAAAAAAAAAAAATAAAAAATTAAAATATTCTTTTTACATTAAAAGAAGATATTACTTAATTATTATATATGTAAATAAATAATACAAAAAATAATAAATATATATAAATATATACAAATACAATAAATATACATAAAAAGATTAACACTAAAATCTTGTTTCTTATCTTCAAGGATAAAATCCATCGATTTTTTAATTTATTATCTAAATTCCTATTAATTCTTAATTCTATCTTTCTTATTCTATTATTATTTATTTTGAGTTATTATTTAGATTTTATTTACGAATGACATTAGTCCATAAATGTTAGCATTCACTCGTTTTCGTTTCATTTCAGCAGGGTGAACGATTAATTTCGAACGGTTCATTCACGATGAGAAACACTTTGGGTATTACGCAGCAGCTTTGAATGAAACTTCCCAACTAGGTCGAGGTTCGGTAGGTATCAGAAAATGATTTCAACCGAAAAGCATTTAAACTTTCGATATATTTGAAGAAACTGATGATTTCCTTTTCCCGTAGATTTCAGGCAGCGTTATCTCAAGGCCTCGTTATCTAAGATGAAGGAAAAATTATTTTGCGTGACGAGCTCTTGAATTAATCATTTAAAGAGAAGTGAATTATGCAAATGTATACATATAGATAATTGCTCATGAATAAGAATTCATCACAAGAGAAATAAACAAATTACGCTTTGTATTTTTTTTTTTAAATTCATTTCAATTTACTAATATTTGTTCCTTTATTAATGTTCACAATATATGTTCACAATAATTTTTGAGACAATTCTTGACTTTTAAATCGTATATCTTCAATAATGATTTTTTATAAATTTAAATTTTTCTTGTTTGATTCATACATAACCTATTAACGATCTTCAACTTCCATCTAGAATTATATACAAAAAAATTCCTTTCTTTAAAATATATACAACAATTTCTCTAATTCAGAATATTATATTGATTAGCCTACTATTATAATAATCACTCTAATTTTCGACTAAATTGAATAATTTTATCGAAATCTGTTTTACTGCTGAAAGTAAACTTCAAGGTGATATGGACATATATTGCGTGCAGAAAGTCCGTTGACGCATTGCAGAAGAACAAAATTGTCGAGAGGTCAGCAAAATGAACGAAAAGAGGTAAAGCAGAGTATAAAAAAGAAATGAAAAAAAGAAAAAAGAAAGAAAAAAGAGAAAATGATGGCGCATTTGAACCGACGGAGAAACAGCATTCGTCCCTGCCCGGCCGGTAAATCAATTTCGTCGAAGGACAATCCAAGAGTCCGAGAATTGCAGCGGGGTCAACGAGCCGCGTAGCGGCCGCATTAATTAAGTAAACGCTGCTCCTATTGCCGACCTCTTTTAACGGCTAATCGCTTTCGACGCTCACGCGATTACGTTCGCTACTCTTCATCGCTATCATTTTCAGACTGGAATACAATTTAGAAATCCTAACTTAATCATTTATGCCATCGAACAATTAAGTAACATACATCACGACATTCAAACTATTATTTATGGCTCAGAATAATAAAAATAAAATTTTCATTAAACAAACATATTTCTAGTATGTTTTTTCAAGAATTAAAACATCAAGAATTTAACAAAGACATATTTTTCGAATTAAATTTCGTTTCGATATTAAATCTTTATTTTACATTTATCATGTTATCAAATGTTAAGTGAAGTTGCTCGTTATAGATATATCAGCTGTTGACGCACAACGGGACATCTATCAAGATTGGTTTAACAAGATATTATCATTGATGGAGTTATTTTCTATCGAAGAGTGAAATTAGATAAATTAGATTTTCTATAAAGATGTGATAGGAAAAAATTCACGTGTGATCGCTTCGAACAACGTATTACGCCAGAGACATAGCCTGCACGCAGTGTGGTCTCTTACATAAGTCAGAACAAAGGTTAGACAAAGAGATAGAGAACACTGATATGAATAGTTGACACGTAATGATGTTTTCGCATGGATTCTGGTTTCTCTCGGAAAATAAAACACTTAAATAATTCTTTAACTTTTATAAACAGCAACAGTTAACAATCAACTGCAAGATTGATGTGTCAATTGAATGCATCTAAACGTATATGTATGTTCTGCGTCATTGCAATGTTCAAATTTAAATTGTTTCACTTACCAAATTAGAAGATTGATTTATTTGACAAACGATTCTGATACTGGCAGTGCTCTTGTTTTTATTTTTCTGTCTTCCAATATATATTCACTCAAATATCACGCCAACAAATCGGCACAGAAAAAGACGTTTCATCAACGTACACTATTCAATTAATACGAACATTCACGCCGGTTTCTTCGGGCACAATGAAATGCGAGACATGCGACAGTTTCGACGCTCGTACCGTCTATGTCCGCAACGTATTGCATATACCACTTTGCATAGATGAAACGAATCTTATAAATGCACGAAATCACGTCTATTTACACGCACTGTGATATTTAATGGATTTAATGTGATATTTAATGGACAGTGTCTCTGTTAAAGAAAGACGAATCCATAAACTCGTGTTCCATTAACGTTCACGCGAGTTTATGATACGAAATGAAAAACGGGACGAACGAAGTGACAAAAGTGAGGTTACGTAGGTCCAAGTTCGATGATACAAGCCTTATTGAAACGCAGTCTGATTAGTCAATAATTTTCACCGCAAGTTTCTTTCTTTTCCTTCTGTCTCTATCGTCTTTCGGATCGTGACAATGGACTAGAAGCTGCAGCGGCACGCTGCACACCCAGGACGCACCACGCAAGTTCCAGCTGACGTCCTGGCGAATCGAAGTGGGGAGCAGATGAAGCAGTCGAGCGTGGTAAACAGCCCTCATGGATTTAGATCAGCCTTCGTCGTTCAACGGTCCATCACGTTTCGTTTTAATATTGACATTTGGTTAAACAATCTGTGATACTTTTTTTTCTTTTTAAATGTAATACGTATTGAAATTTAATCAAACATTTTTAATAATTTAGAGATTATGAAGATTGGAATTTCGTGAGATTCTGATTGGAAAACAAAATGGGATTAAATCTGGATGTCTTTTATAATCTTTTGACTAATATGGCACCTATAAATATATATTGAAAAGATTAAAGGTAATTAATCATTAGACATTTACTATGAACGGTTATAGATATTAATTTTTCATAGTGAATATGGATATAGTATAGTATAATTTTTTCCAAGTTTTTATTCTATATTTCTCTATTACTTAATTGATAAATATAAAATATAAAATATTGAATGAAAAATTTAATAATAATTCATTACAGATAGAAATTTATGGTTTGCATACAATAATTATCATTATATTAGATTTTATTTATTTTTTATTTCCAAAGAGTTTCTTAAAAATTAAAGAAGATTAGTTATCTTAAATTATTCAAAATAAATAAAAAAGATTGTGCATTATTATTGAACGAAATTTTATTTTGATAAGAAAATGGAGTAATAACTTCAAATAAATAGGAAATGCATGTTCAGATAATTGATGATAGTTAATATCCTAGAAATAGACTCCTAGGTAAATATATCCCATCATTTCGACAATGCACATGTGCACGTTCAAAGGATCAGCTCGATTGTTGACGATGAATTCTCTATCCCTCTAAATCAACTGGAGGAAGAGAGAATCAAAGCTCCAGGAAGGGAGAATCATCAAAACAGAAAAGGAGGGAAATATAGGCATTGAAGAGAGTTCAAGCGAGAGAAAACAACGAGTAGTCGACCAATCATACAACATTGAATGAACTCGTCTCTGACTCCGATGTGTCTTATTTAGTTCCTTTGCTAGTATATCACCCTTTTATCTTTTTATTCCTAACTTATCTATTTTAGAGAGATTTTAAATGTCATGATGTCAATGATTTATATCATAACACTTAGTATTTAATTATAGTTATTAAAAGATTTTAAAGTATGATAATGATTTATCTTGATACAACATTACTTGTGAAGTGCTTAGTATATTTTTTTTATAAATTAAAATAATAAATATATGATTGTTGTCTTTTAAGAATCTAAATTTTTTTAAAAGAAATCTTAAAGAATTTAGATTTTTTCAAATCTAAAATTCTGTTTTATAAAATATAATTTATTCTATACATATATTAAAATTAATTTTTCTATTTTTTGAATTTAAAAGCAAATATTAACGAGCCAACTGTTTCGAATTGTGAATTAGGAAAGTATTTGACTTTGATCATCGAGATTATAGGACTTCGATAAAGGGATATCAACCGGCAAGTTACGCAAAAAAAAAAAATCGAGATGTGAAAATAAAAAGCATTGGAACGGTTGGCATCTGTTTCACGCGCATGCTAACCTCGCTCATGACGTCAGAGGGTGAAAAATCAATCCACCCTTGTACAGTGCGGCAAGATAGGATTGTATATCTGGCGGCCACAGTCGCCATCATTAAATTAATCGAATTAATTGTACTTGTCTAATCGATCGCCCTTGGGCCAATTTTCAGTTTTAGAATTCTAACGATCGATGATGTTTCGGAGATTTTTCTTGGATTTCTTAGATTGGATTTTTAAAAGGAAGATGCAGAGATGATTATTGAAATATTTGACAGTATAAAGAATTTGTTGAATATCGCAAAGAGACGATGATAGAGAATCTTAATGTAGGAAAAATGACTGCTTAAACTAGAAAAGAAAAAAGAAGAAGTGGACAACTTAATTATTACTCAATGCAACGTGGCAAAAAGATTTCCAAGTATGAAGGATTGAAATAGTATTTTTGCTTACATTTGTAAATTCATTTTATGAAAGTTCTGCAATGAAATTGGCAATGAGTCTGGGAACTATGATTACGTAATAGTTATGAATGAATTTCATTGTAATATTGGTTACTTTGGGAAGTTATTTTGGGAAATAATATTAAAGCTTCAAGAACCCAAATTACTTTTGAAACTATACTCTACTTTGAAGATTATAATATTTAAATTGGTTTATAGACTATAATTGAATTTTCATTTTTTGAAAATTTATTTTGAAACTTGTTTATTTGATTTGCTTCAAAAAATTGTTTGTAATATTATAAAATTGAAATTAAAATTGAAAACGACTGTTGCATAGGTAAAGAAAACATGAAACATTTCGTTATGCAATCCATTCAAATAGTACTATTTAATCGATTAATTAATTGTTCGTTCCAGCTTGTTAAGACATACACCCATGTAATTGGAATAATGCTTATATAATGCATTATTTCGAAAACATAAGAAAAATTTTAGCATAATGCATAAATTTCAAATTGCGTGATATAGAAGGCTTGAAAATGACCAGGAAAATATATTCCAGTGAATTTTATTAAACGCTGAATGCTTTATTCCATTTCAATCGCAATGCACCTTTTGCGCAGTAATTGAATTGAAACGCTGACGTCGAATGACTTCGAGATGTTGCGCCTTCTTGCATCTTTTCATGCATTTTATATTTTCTTTTTGTTAGAAGGAATAAGATAAAAGTTATAAATCTAATAGAACTTTGATAATTTGAGAATTTCATTATCTAAATTGAAATATTAAAGCAAAATGCAATTTCTTTGCAATTTTTTATTTATTCAAATTAAAATATTATAACAATGTTTAAAATCTAAAATTCATTGAATTCCTTTGAACATTGAGGTTTGAGATATATGCAATAATAATATTTTGTATTCTTTGTTTTCTATATTTTTATATATATTTTTTTATTTGTAGATGATATTTTTTTATATTGGTGAAACGCTTACCTGTTATCCACGTTATACGACACGTTTTCGATCCCGAAAAAATGCAATTTTTTCTGCGTTCCTCGCAAACGACGTTGCACCTTCGCATGATAATTGATAACAACTGTTTTTCCTTTGTGCCGGCTTATAGCTGTCGTGGATCTTATACTCGATGTCTGACTACGTGCGATTCGCGACTACGAGCAAACAATCCGCAAGATTACAGCCGAAAGGGATTTCTGCATTGCTGTTGTGCCTCAACTTGGGCTACCATTAGCTCATCAAGTCCGTTAAACGAACACGAAAGAAGACAGACACTGAGGTGGACTTAAGTGTTTGAAGTTGATTGTTAAGTAACAGTTTAAATTGTATATAGGACTGATAAACGCAACAACTTAGAACACGTTGCAATGCGTTATATCTGGTATAAGTGGTCGTCGAGTGTTAAGATCGAATATGCATTTATTTTTTTATTTAATTGATATTTTAAGTTGATATTTATTTATTAATTATATTTTTATTTTATCAATTACAAAATAAATATTTTTTTAGGGAGATCATAAGATATGATAATTGAAAATGAACTTCTAATTGCGATGAAAAAAGTCGAACGAGATTTCGAATTTTTTTAAGAAAATTGCCTTTTTAAAAGAGATAGAAAGTATTATAAATAAATTTATAATAATTATGAATGAATTGCAAATGGTTTTTTCTAATAGAAATTAAGAACGATTTTAAAATGGAATTAATTTCATACGAATTAAATGGAAAGATTATGGTAAGATTAATGACACGACTGAGAAGTGCATTTCTGCATTGCACAAAGAATTTCAGATATAATGTGAGAAGATTATGAATATATTTATATATGTGTGTGATTGAAAAAGAGAATAAGATGAATTCGAGCCTGAAAAACATTTTAATAACCAAAAGATAAGTTTAATGAGCCAATAATCGTTGAAAGTGTTTTTATTATAAAGTCAGATTTTTTTTTTATATTATTTTTTTTTTAGTCTCCATCCAAGTATAGAATTTTAATGATACAAGAGAAATTTGTAGAAAAAGTGTATATACATTGATTTCAATGATTTTTAAATATATTATAAAAATCAATATTATAAAAATTTTTTTAAAAATTAGATTATGAATAGATTCTATTAAAATGATTCTGTTAAGATTTTAATCAATAAGTGAAGGAAAAAAGATTAATAAAGTTAATGAAATATCGGAGCCGTTTCTTGAATATATATATATAAACTTTGCAGTAAGTATAAATAAGGAAAGAAGATGGTGGGAGAAAGACAGAGATAGGATAAAAATGTGGAAATCAGCGCCATCTTCAGAGTGCCGCAAATGAAACTCAATACACAAGGACAGAAAATAATTGAAAAAGGACAGAGATATATCAGAATTGACTTTCAGCGCCATCTTTTGAATAACAGAGAAATTTCTTCAAAAACAAGATAAAGTAGAGTAAGAATTAACAATCAACGCCATCTGTTGACTTATAAAAATATTATGAGATTGAATATTTTCTAAAAGTAATTGAAAGATGGCGCTGATTGTAAATTCTTACTCTACTTTATCTACTATGTTTTGAAGAGATGTATTTGATATCCAAAAGATGGCGCTGAGAGTTAATTCTGATATATCTGTCCTTTTTCAATTATTTTCTGTCCTTGTGTATTGAGTTTCATTTGCGGCACTCTGAAGATGGCGCTGATTTCCACATTTTTATCCTATCTCTATCCTTCTTCCTCCATATTCTCTCCTTGTCTATACTTTGTAAAATTTGAGATAAAATTTACAAAAATTTACAAAAGTATAAGTTTTAAATCATTTATATATATGTTGAAAAATAATACGAAATAACATTTTTTATTTTAATATTTTTTTATTAGGCACAATCTTAAATACAATATAAAAGTACAATAAAAATAAAAAGTAAACAAAAATAAATTTATAAAAAATATACTCAAAAAATCTTAATCAATATTTAGTTGTCTAAAAGAACCTTGTAATCCTTCCAATTCTTTTAAAAGTCTCGTTTTTGATTCTGGAAGTCTAGCATTTTCGTTCGTTCGACTGAGCTTTTCCTCTCGCAAAAACCAGTCTCTGTTTTTCTCAATTTTCTTTTTCCACGCGTCTAAAAATATTATTTGAGTAAAAGAAGGAAAAGATAAAAATAATTTCCTCAAATATGTAATCATGTGAACAATTAAAAATTTTAACAAACCATTTAACTCATCCAAAGTGCCTGCTTTCCCACCCCATTCATTTGGAAGTATATCTTTGTTCATATAAGAATGCAATTCCTCACCACCACCAGTATGAATTCGAAACTTAAAAATGGTAAATATTTACATAAAATAAATGAAACCTAATAATCTAATTTTAAATGCTTAAATATCACTTACTTTTTGAACCAGTCGAATTTTTAATAAAGGATAAAATATATTTAAAATATTTTCTATGAATGCAGGAGCGTGAAGAAAGTGAACTCTATGAAGTCGTAATGGCATGCTATCTTGCATTGCCAACATTGCCTTACGAACAATACTCTGAGTTGGACTGCATTTCGTAAAATGAACCACACCAAATCCCTATTCGATTTGAAATTATTTCAATAATGAAATGATACAACGATATAAATGTAAAAAAAGAGATTTGCAATTTAAAAATAATGTTAATTTTACAGTTACCTCGAGATCGATCACCATAATATTTGATAGACATTGTTCTTCTATCAGACGAGTATCCAGGACCATAAGAATCCTTCTAGAGATGGTCTGAATAGAAAATTTATCTATCGCACTGTCTTTTAATCGTAAAATCGTCACTCGGTGTCCTTCGTCCGTTAATGATGGTAAAATGAAATATTGGCTAATTGAAAAAATATATTAAATTAAATTCCAAAAAAATGAAAATCACAAATTAATTAATGAAATAGTTACATCGCTTCGCAGCATTCTTGAATTTCTCGTGCAAGTGGATCTCGAACGGCAAAAAATTCTGGAATTGCGGTACGTACGCTGAAATATCGTTCCAAAATCAATTTGCATCTCTCTATGCTATTTTTGCAGCCAAACAGAAATCTCTCGAGCCTCGTATCGTCTGCATTTAAAAAATTGCGAATTTCCATAACACAGAAGTTTAAAGTAAAGGCGAATTTTTAATAATTTTTTTCTTAAAAAATTATATTATAAATTTAATTGTTTCGAATAATAGACAATCTTATTGAAAATAAACAAAAATAAAAAGTGTATTCAATTTAATATTTCTAGTGTAGAATTTTAAATAGTAATTTTAAAAAATAGAAAAAAGAGAAAATAGAATTACATATTCACTTCAAAATATTTTTTGTTATTGGAATTAAATAATACTTTTAAGATTAAACAAAATTTAAAATATAAATTTGTTAAAATTTCTTAAATTTATTTGTTTTTTTATGTTTATTTTTCGATCTTCTTATTTAATTTTCATTTTAATCAATTCGCAGGATAGAAAGAAACTCAGACCCATATGGTTAGGCAGATGAGGTTGTTTCGAGAGCCAATCGCGTATAGCAGCCACATCGCGTTTCTTCGTTTCTGGATCTGTCGAAACCTCCTCGTTTATCCGTTTCTGCTGTTCTGCCGTCGGTGGTAGCAACGTCATAGCGAACTGTAATCCGACGAATTAAAAAATATCGAATTTATTATCATAAATTGTAATGCTCTAATCTTTAATTATATTTACAGAACCCTATCTATTTTCATTGTTGACGCAATTCGTAAGGAAACGTGCTTATCACAGGAATAATTATTAACAATCAATATTGATACTCGTACTCGACAAGCGAGCAAAGTGCAAAATTATTCGTATTTTTTTTGATTTTTAAAAAAATTATCATTAGAATTATCTATAAGTTAAATAGTTATAGATTTTCTTTGAAAATGTATACCTTTGCAAAATTAATATTAAATTTTATTCAAAAACATAAATCTAACCTAGATATATACCAAATATATATATATATTTTTTTAGAAAATATTCTATATGAGAAATTTTGATTTTCTATACGAGATGTTTGATGTTTAAAAGTAATTTGATTTTTCAAAGAATGAGCTTTTTTTAATAAGGTTTGTATTTTAAAAATTCAAGCTATATACAATTATGAAATATATTTGATATATGAATATTTGTCTTCAATATTTCGATTTTTAAAAAAAATTATTATTAGAATCATCAACAAGTTAAATCATCAGTTAAAGATTTTTTGAAATTATATGTAAATATCTTTGACAAAATTAATGTTGATTTTTATTCAGAAACATAATTTTAATCTAGATGTACAATTTTTTTTTTTTTTTCATATTGAAAATATTTTATACAACTCGAATATTGATGTTTAAAACTAATTAATAACGCTTAACGAAATATTAAAATCAAAAAAGCATTTTTGAAGCTTCTTACGAAAGTTAATAATTAATAACATAGAATTTCAAATTTCAATTTTTATTGGTCTCTTTTTATTCAAATAATTATATATATATATATATATATATATATATATATTTATTATATTATATTTCACATAATATTCTTATTATAATTCTAATTTTTTTAACATACTAAATAATAAAATTAAAAAAGACATTAGATTCGACAAACGTGACTGACGAATAAGGCCAAATCAAATAATCGCCATAATTACGAGCATACATGGTGATTTACTGCTTCGTCGATTACACAAATTATCGAACTCGAAGGTGAAATGATCGTCCATTCTCTGAGGAATACTTTGCATAAGAAACAAAAGAAAGGAATAAGAAAAGAAGAAATTCGACGTGATTGGAATTAGATGTCGATCGTGAGTTGCATCATCGCCGAATTTCAGGTGTAGCCATTTTTCTTTATTTTTTATTTTTCGTAAGTCGATCGGAGAAAGTTCATTTCGATATCACGAAATCGAGCCTGGAAAATAGCTCGAACGTGAGCAAAATTGATTAGATCGTGGTAAATATCGAAAATAGTAAATCAGGAAAAGAGAAAGCGCGAATGTACACAATAAAGTAAAAGAAAGGAATAAGATGATTTTCGATCAACGATTTTCGATTATTTTTGTTTGAAACTTTGAAACTTTTTTATTTTTTTTTTTTTTTCATTATCTATCATTCAATTATATTGTAATAATTTATATTAAATTCTGTGAATATTTAATATTTTTTTATAAATTAATTTTTTAAGTTTTTAGATTTAATTTATTTAATTGCTATTTCTTATTGACTTGCTTATTGAAATTTTTATTTACAACAGATCGAAATCGGTAATATATTTTATAAAATCCAATAATGTGGGAAAAAATCAAATTATATCTAATTTTGTTTACTTAAACAATTTTTTTATGTAAAATAATCTTTTAATCTTTTAACGTAAGTATTATTAATATATAATAATATATAAAAGTATTATTAATATTAATTTAATAAAAATTAATTAATTTAATAAATTTAATAAAAGTACTATTAATATTAATTTAGCATTATTAATTTAAGTACAAAATTTGTTAAAAATTTCTATAACTTCAAATCCAATTATTAATTAAAAAAATATATGAAAATTGTCATTAAATGTTATTCATTAATTTAATAAAATTCTCTTATTTTTTTTTTGTAATAAAATAAAAATCATTTCTTAGATTTTTTAAAATATTAATTATCACTAATTTTATTCTACGTTAAATATTTTCAATTGAATCAGTCGAAATCTTATTTAAATTAATAAATAAGTATGATCAAAGATAATAAAAATAAATATTAAGATTATTAATAATAAATTATTAAAGAATACTTTAAATACAGCTAATAATGATACATAATTATTCTTTTTTACTTACCAAGATTTCCAAATGCAATTTCACAAAATTATCGAACCGATTCTAAATTATAGAAGAAGAAAAAACTATCAAGAATTTTACTAAATTTTGTGTGCAATCTGTGGAAGACGATACAATACTGCAATATCTGTACGAAGCAGATTCTTTAAGCTTGGCCCTCTAATACACATGTTCCCCACCATCCCCACTATCGTGAAATTGAAAATGGAATATGCTCGATGGAATATGTTCTTCACGTAGAAAAAAAATTAAACTTAATGAATTCTTCACTTTTTTTTATTTCAAAATGCAAGAACTTTTCAAATAGAACTCGATGATGCTATTATGTAAAAAATTTTCATATTTTAAATGAAAAACAAACTTAAACTAGCTTATAGAATTTCTTAGCTTATTTTGAATTTCTTAAAAATTTATATAAGTTTTCTAATTATTTCTTTATATTTTCTATTTCTTCATTAGAATTTCCAAAAATTTATTATTTCGAATGATAAAAAAGAAATTTAAATTTTTTAAAATTCTGAACTATAATTAATATTTCTATACTAAAAATTATTTTGTTTTGAACAATGAAAAGAAGGCTTAAACATTTTATGAATAGAAATTGGGATCTTTTTGAAATTTTATTAATGTCTTTCAAATTCTTTTTTAGATTTTATTTAAGAAATTAATATTTCTGAAAATTGATTCTCGCAATATTTACTTAAAAAAAAAACTTCGTTAAAAAATTATAATTTATTGAAAACAAGCTTTACAAATATTTGAACCATCGAGTTCGAGATACAAACGATATCTTTGTTACCGGAAGTTTGCAATGTCTCACTGACAGTTGAGAAAATTGAAAACCTGGCGAATCTTTAAATTTCAACGAAAATGTGAAAGATCAATGAAGTGAAAATATTTGGACGTTTATCGAAATGTTTGATTGTCTCACTATATGTAACACCGTTTGCATAGGTTGCATTTGGGTTGCTTTATTCTCCAAGTGGTAAAAAAAAAAAGTTTTTTCGTTATCGTATAAATATATAAATGTGTATATATATTATGTATATATATATGTAGATAGATTGATCAATTAACATTACAGTTTTTCAAATTTAATTAGCATCAGAAGAGTCGATTCGAGCGAGTGCTGCAATTGGAAGAAACCAAAACCTGAAGAAAAGATTTCACGCATTGTTCAATGTTGTTTAAGCTCTACAGAGGCTCTTATGCTTCAAACATCTTGCCAATCTAATTACGATGACTTACAGAATTATAAATATCAAGTACTGATGGCAGAAAAGGAAATATTATAAAATTAAAAAGTTAGTTATGTGAAATGATAATTAATAATGGAAAATGTTCAAACATTTGAATTATTATTAGTATATCCTTTGATAATAAAATATAAACAGATGATAATCAGCAGACTGAAATTGCAAAAAAAAAAAGAAGATTTACAAAATTTGTGAACGAAGAAGAGGAAATATTTTTGCCAGATTAGAAAATGTCGAAAGTGTCGAACAACCACAAAATTAATCATCTGTACATCTTATTTCATATCTTATTTTACATCCAAAAGATGTAAAATAAAAATAATTGATAGAAAATATTCAAAGTGAATAATCCATTGTCCATAATATGTCCAATAATCTGTATATCCATTGTCCATATATACTTATAATAATAATGTAAAGAAACAAGAACAAATTAAAAATATATTAAATTTATTTCTCAAAATTTAATTGATATATGTCTGTTCTTCAGGCATTGTCTCGAACTCGGGTAAAGCTTGAACTAACTCGTACTGTGGTTCATTTACTATCTCTACTGTCGGTTTCTTTTCTTCGATAATCGGTTTAGAACTGAGCTCTTTCATGGCCATCTTCGTGGCCAGAATGTCTTCCTCGTTGTCCAAAATTTGGACAATTTTTTGCACGGTTGAATACTCCATCACCACCGCCGATTTCGCTTCTGCTGTTTGCGATGCTTCTGACATCTTCGCCTTCTCCTCGAGATCCCAATTTCTCATTGTTTCTCTAAAATATATATTTAATTATTACGTTTTCTGAAACGTAATAAATTACACGATTCATAATACCAAAATTAGGAATCTCTGTAGTATCATTGGATACTATCCATAACTCACTTGATACTTGACAAAAATAAATAGATATACATATTTTTTTTAGCATCTTAAATAATCAACAATGCTATAATCTTCAAATTAACATTAAACTTTGATTTTCAAGGCTAATCTAATATTGTAATAATTGAAAATAAAATTATTTCTTATTCTCTACTTCTACTTCAAGAAAAATTGAAATGTGTAATTAAATTATAATATATATTGAATTTAATAAGTAATGTTGTTTTTAAAATTAAAAAGAATATAATTGAGATTTATAATGGATTTTTTTTTTTTGTAATTTCTTTCTAAAATACGAAAATCTTTAGAAAATGTTGAAATGTTAAAATTACGAACTCTTAATAAAAATCTAATAAAATTTTCAAAGAAAAGATTTTTAACGATTCCTCACATGGATAATCTTTCATCGCTAGGTATCTTGCTGTCCGACTGAAGCTTGGCGCTCAATCTCGCTTTGTTCTTCGAAGTTCTCCTATTTTTGTCACGGTTCATAGTCACATTCGATTTGCTTCGATGGATAGAACTCGAGGGGTTATTATCCTGCTTGTTTCGATTTTCGACGGGTTTCTTCGACGAGTTCCTCGATTTGGATAAATTGTACTTCATACTCTGTTGCATGGAATCTTTCTTGAAACAGCAACGATGAGTACGATATTGCCACCTGGCGAACACATTAAAAAGAAGTAAGATGGGAATACTGTTTATATACTTCGATTACCACAACGCGCAAGTCGTCACAGTTGAGCTGAACATGAAGAAACAGTTCAACACTGTAAGCACGATCAATGGTTCCAACATGATAAGGAAAACGGAAAACGAAATTCTACGGCGATGATGATGGCTGGAACAAATCGTGAATTTGGAAACGCTTGTCAATCGAAAGACGATGGCAGTGTGGCTGGCCTCGCTCTGAAAATAGGTGACAAACGGTGAACTTCGATATTATCGTGCGGAGAATACTTTAACTCGGCTTCATCATTCAAAATATCACAAAACAAATATTTTTCCGTTATTAATAATTTAATTGTAAATTAATTTTTTCTCATCATTCTTTCATCAGAAAATTTAACCTTCAAAGGATCGATATTGCTGATGTTAAATAATAAACAATATCGATTTATAAATAAATTCTCGACTTTTTTAATCAACATTTAATCGTTGATTGACAAGCATTGCAGGATGGCTCTATCAAAGAATGATAATCTTTCACATTACTTCTACCCTTCTATTTCAAATTTTATATTCAAACTTTGTTTTAAAAATCTTGAATGAGAAGATTTCTATCCCCATATATAATCATCATCTTTAACAATCCTTTAACATATACATATAATAATACAATCCAAAACTTAATTTGACAAATGTTCTTTCTACATCAGATATATATATAATAATCAGACTCGCCTCGTTCAAAATCATCCTAGCAAATTAATTTCAAAAGAAGCGGCCCAATTTGTCCCGGATCTTCTCGTTCCATATCTCGATCCAGGTAATGGCCCCGGAAGAGGGGGAGACCAAGTGAGAAATCTGGCCAGGAAGCGTGTACAGATTACGGTAGCTGTCGACAGGGGAAGCAAACGAGTGATCCAACCCCGCGGAACCTTTCCTCCGCAGGGGTCCATGGAGCCATCTCTTGTGAATACCGGGCACAATGGCCGCGTTAACCGCAATATAAAAACGGTACCTTCATAACCCCGCGGCGACGCATCTGTGCGACCGAGATATATATAATGATGATATTACGTTTCTACGTGGACGTGTCGATGACGTTTTCGTTGCGGTTCCGGAATGAAATAGACGACGGAGGACCGACCGCCCTTGGAGTGGAATCGCTTCGATTTCGACTACCTGCCATGCGTGGATTTTATTTATGCGCCGCATCCTCAATGCGTATTATTTATTATTATTCTCAATACGTGTCGAGGATTAATGACCACGAGGAGAATAGTAGAATTTGAAATAGAATTTCCTTTTCATAACGAATCAAAAACTGTCGTTATCTCTTGGAATGAATTTGTCGTAGGTAAGATGGGGATGGAATTATTATAGAATTAATTATTATTTTTAATGGTTAATTGAAGGAATGAGTACGAGAATGGAAATAGGAATATATTATTGGATATAAGTGCTATTAAAAGAATATCTCGAAGTGAATAAGTGAATTCGTAGCCAATAATGTATTTACCTACACGTGTGCTAATATTATATCAAACATGCATAATGAAATATATACACTAATGGCTCATTCTATTTAAAATTCAATAATACTTTTAAGTATTCATTTAACATTTTCGTTATTGATTTCAATTAAACATAGATTGCATTTTGTTAAAACATGCAAAACATTTTCCTAAAGAATTTTGAATTGAAGAAGTTAAAATAGTATCAATTACATTTTTATATATATATATATATATATATAATTGATATATTGCCATTTCTTTGACGCGTATCGTAGATATTTCTCTAAAGAAATTCTTTTCTTCTGTTCCTTAGAAGAGATTCGTTCCACGTATAATAAGTTGGTCACTTGTCGTCCCATTCATCGACGACCACAGGCTTTTCTTTACGACCGATTTTTGAAAAAGATTTTTCCACCCGCCACAATGTTCATACGTGTCACGCTATTTTCCCTACATCGAGAGCAAATCTTTCTTGCGGTTTGTCTAATTTATTGGCCAGAATGGTATTGTCAGACCACACACAGATGGAACTGGACACTTTTATGAACTCCCACGACAATCGCGATTATGAACCTACTGTGCTGTTCTTCCGTATTCTTCCGCAATTTTTTGTTTACTTTTTCATAGAAAATCTCTGACGTTCTTGCCAATGAAAGAAACGATCACTTGGACGATTCGAAAATACTCTTCATTGTATAAATATTTGATCACAAAGAATAATCGGTAATAAGAAATATTAAATTAAATAAAAATTCTTCAAAATATTCATCAAAATAATCTCTAGAAATATATAACTGCTAACAATAATAATAAAGGAAGATTAAAAATATCAAAAATTATATCCATATTTTATATCCAATTAATTTTCTGCATTTTCATTGTCAATTTAATACTTTGGACACATCCTTTAAATTTATAATGCAGTGTCGATAGAATAACAAACACGTGTGTAACGTAGAACATAAAATTACTCGACAAACTAAAATACCACGTCATTTAGAAATATTATACTAAATTGTATATATTATTATTTTCTGAATTCTGAATTTTCTACCTGCCAAATCCTCTGACACTCAAATTTAAGGACATCATGGAATTATACAAACATACCAGATGGATTACTGGTAATTATCCAAGAACCAATCGTCGTTCAAGAGTCAACCGTTAGCCAGTTTCCGATGAAAAGGATATATTCAATAGGAAAATGGATCGATGGTCGGGTATTAAAGCTAATCCACGCCTAGAAAAGGGCGCGATCGGCACCTGTGGCGACTAAAAATCCCTGGTTCTACCTGAGGCAAATTGCCCAAGTACCGTTGTAAGTCTCTCTCTCTCTTCCAATAAATTTTGATTTATTCCTTGGTTAAACTATTAATAATAATAATAATAATATCAATAAAATTTATGAATATGAACGTGTTCGATTAAAATATTCAATTCAAAGATAAAACATTTTATTTTTAAAAATTTTCAGATTACAACAGAGTTTTCACTTCCAAATGAATTAAATAAAAAAAAAACTTTGAATTTTTCTTGTTCCACCAATTTTCATAAAAAATGTTTATCTTTTAACATTCGATTCTAAGGTTAAGAATTATAAAAGTATTTTTTTATTTTTCGAATTTTTCCAGGATGCAAAAGCTTCCTCGACCACCCTGAAGACCATCAAACATCCTCCCCCATTAAATTACTCTCTCTCTCTCTCTCGATCTTCCGCGACCACTTTTCCTCTCGAGAATTGTTGCCCAACGTTCAGAAAAGAGACGCGCATTCTTCCCTCGATTTCTCCCGTTCTTTTTTTTTTTTTTTTTTTTTCCTCTCTCCCTTGACACGACATCGAATCGAGGCCGAAAAATCGAGGCTCGAACCGATTCTCACGATCGAAAAAGAAGTCGAAGAGTCAGGTGCTGGCTCGAATGGACCTCGACTTGGACCACGCCATTCACTCTTTTTTCAGAAATAAGCCACCCGCCCACCGGTGCCCCGTTTCTCGTGTCAGGGAATTAAGAAAAAATACAGAGAGCCGGCAGACAATGGAGGACAACCGAATGAAGACGATATTTCAGCGTAACATCGTGGAATCACGGATATCGTAGGTGGGACTTACTCTTCGTTCGATGAAAAATGAAACGATCGATGTTGCCTCTAAAGAACGATTATAGGCGGAACTGGACAATCTGTTGTCGATTCATTCGAGTAGGTAGCATTCATTTATAGTAAGATGGTAAATTAATCTTGCTACCTTTTTTTTTTCCATGGATCACTTTCGAGTCAATCCTGTTCCTTTATCGTTGAAAAAATTTTTTAAATTTGAGGAAAATATAAATCTTTCTTCATTTCCTCTTTCGGTAATAATCAAATTATAACTCTTACCTCCCTCTTCCCATAATTATTAAATACACGTAAAGATACATTTTTCGTAGAATAAAATTATATCTAATAATTTCAGAGACACGATATCGAAACGAAAAATTTAACAGAATTCGAAAAAAAAGTTCTCCCCATAAGGATTCATAATAATTCACAAAAATCATCGTGTAACAATCCTACTCCGTTTCTTCGGAAAATTTCTCAATGGCAGGACTTGTTCATTCACGCGAACGATCATCACGTTGCTATGACAGACGAAGGAAAGAGTTAGGACCAATTACAAGGATGTTTCGAACGGTCACAATGAGAAGAGTCTCGTCAACAATCGTTTCGTTTCTCAACGAAAGTCATCTTCGAGGAAGAAAATCACGAAAGACGAACTCATCTGTCCGTAACGAAGCAATTTTCCACGGATGCTTGTGCGGTGGATGAATGAGGAACGAGGAACGCTGACTCGTGCACTTTTACGCATCGTGGAATCGCGCTTTTGCGAACTTCATTCATGAATCCTAAACTGGAAGCTCATTCAAAAAGCGTTCAGTAACCTCGATTGTCCGCCATAATGGTTGGTGTACCTGCAAATTCGACGCGGTAGCAATCTATTAAGTGTCGATATCAACCTTTTTTAAGTGATCCTTCAAAACTTTTTTTTTTTTTAAATTTTTTTAAATTTTTTTTTAAGATTTTTGGAATTTTTTTTTTTTTTAGGTTAGATTTTAAATCTTAAATGTGCATTGTACCACAAGATACTTGGATAAGTAAAATATAACGCCAAGTGCTTTTAAATCAAGATGAGATTTATATAATTGTGACTTATGATAAGATAAGATCTTTTCAATTTCTATTATCTTGATTTATATATTAATTAATATGTCATCAATTAAGTAGCAATAGAAGGAGTAAATTTAAAAAATTTTCATAAAAGACTTCAATTTCTTTTTTCTTTTATCCAAGGAATATGATTAAATTGAATTTCGTAATTTTCCGTATATGTATACATTCAAAAATTTGGAAATATTGAAAGAATAGAAAGAAATTATATGAATCATTTCTTCTTCTTCTTCTTCTTCTTTTTTTTTACTTCTTGCTTCGGTTCAATCTGCGGTATTTCCTCCTTTGTAACGAGTTTCACGCAATCTTCGTCCACGACCAAGGGTTCTTCCAGTTTTTCCGGAGGAGGCGTTGGCGGTTTCGGTGTCCTCACCTCGAGTTCTATGTTCTTCTTCGGCTGCTCGATCGAATTATTATTCTTTTTCATTCTTAACATGAACACGTTCTCATTCCCTTCGGTCACGCGATCCGTGTGTATCTGTTGCACCCCGGTACCGTTAAATACGGGGTAAATGGTGAACGTTCTGCATTGATCGTTCGTCTTCGGACCTCCTTTGCACTCGCCGACCTGAGCAAATTTATATACGATAATTTATACGATACTTGGAAAAATATCGTAATTCGAATTTATGTGTCTTCGTTTCAGTTCTTTTCACGGTTCGTGGAAATGTTTAACAAGTGAATTATCATTTTACGTTCAAAAAGAAAATAAATAAATAAATATCGCGTCTTACTTCGTAAGAAATGGTTTGTGCCGTATCTTGATTTTCTTCCTTCGAGATGTCCGACCGTTCGACGCGAAACAGGATCCGATTATTGTCGGCACCCTTTAATATTTTCGGCCCCTCCTTGCTCGTCGGCCTTACTATCTCCACGTCGCAATCACACGGAGGATCCCAATCCTTCAACTTCTTCGCCTTCCCCCTTTGCCTTTCCACGCGAATTATCAATTGATTCCCGATCATGGCCGTTCCAATCTCTCGAAAATATTTCTTTGGGGCATCTCGAGGCTTCGGGGGTGGACAATCCGGTGGGCAGGGTGCGGGTGGCATTGGAGGACAGACGTACATCTTTGGACGATTTTGATATCGAAATAATATCGCGAGTTAAAAAAATTAATTCACCAATTTCTCGTTTGAAATAACATTTTACAAGTTAAAATTATTCGAGATAACAATTATAACTTTTGCCACTTTGATACTTGAAATTTCGACATTATTTTTCTTTAATGTAAATAAAAGGATGTAAATAAAGAGGAAGAGGTTGATGGGATCGGGATGGAGTGAAAATCGATCTTTTTCGAGACGAGTTCAGATCACTCGGGCCTGGGAAGAATCAGTTGTATTCACAACGTACATCCCAACCTATCCAACATGTCGCAAACCCCTACAACTTGAAGCTCAAACATCGATTAATCCACCACCATATTGATTCAGCCACTTCCTTCTTCTTCTTCTTCTTATCCTTCTTACTCTTAAACCCGATCTTCTCCACGAATTTTCGAAAAAATTCCCGACAAACAAAATAATGTTAGCCACTTATAATTGCGGATGCCCACCACCATCGAAACCGTCGTGCTCGCCTTGCTGCGAAACGGCAGGTTCCGAAAAGATATCGTCCATCAAGCAGCCGCCCAAACCTACAGATTGCCCCGAAAGTTCCTGCTGCCAGAAACGTCAATTGAAACCTGTCGTCCCTCAGCCAAAGATAGAAGAGCCACCGCCATGTTGCCCCGTGAAGCCTTCAAGTGTGTACGACTTCGAGAGGCCTAGCAAACTTCGCTCGGATATCGAGGAGAAGGGTTTACCGTACAAGCAAATGGAAGTTATGATTAACGACAACAAAGTGGTGCTCAGAACCCAGAAGGAGTACAAGAAACTCGAATACGAACCACCGTGCGACTGTGTCGAGGATACGCAGCCCAAAGTGGAAGAGGCGGATGAGATCGAACAGCCCCAGGTACCCGGTAGTAGGACGGTCACGCTGTATCCGAAGGCGAAGGTCGGTGACATCGTTGAGGAGAACTCGAAAGAGAAGAGTGAGAAGAAACACGAGAAGGAGCAAAATCCGAATTTATTCATGTTCAAAATGAAGAAGACATCCGATGTAGGTGATAAGGCGATTCATATAGATTTTCAGTTCAGGGTGGCTAGGCCTTGGTCGTTGCAGAAGCGAAAGGAGATAGAGGATCAGATAAAGATGTGGGAAAAGCCTTTGGAGCCTGTGGTGGCGAAGGAAGAGGTGGTGAAGAAGGTGAAGACCCCGAAACCGAGTAAAACGATTAAGAAGAAAAAGAAGAAGTGAATTCATACCATATCATTCATATTCCCTCATAATTTGTAAATAGAACCAATCATCGAATAAAATGTAACTGACAAAAATATCTTTGTCATCTTTTTATATTTTGTTTCGATTGGATAATCGATTTAATATTTTTATTATTATACTTATAGATTTTTTTTTTCTTTTTCAAGATACAAATACAAATATTTTTCAACGAGAAATGGAAGGAAATTTGGAGAATTTTCACTCTTCTTCTGAAATGAATTCAAAACTCAAATGCAAATTCCAAATAATAAGAGATACCTAAGTCTAAGAGAATTTCATTTCTCGATCTATTGCAAAAGAATTAAAAAAAAATCTAATCTAGGATTGAAAAATTGCAACACAATTCAAAAATATTTTTCTTCTTTTCATCCCCATTGTAATATAGCAAAATATAACCTCCTCGTAACTCCTCTAACCGCCTCTTCCTCGTCTTTTTTTCCTTTTAGAAAATGACCAGTCAACCACCCTAATGTCCGTCATACGCGATCGAACGTATGATCGCAACCCATGATCCATATATCAGCGAGTCAACGCGCCCCGGGTGTTTTTGCTTCCCGTTGAGAACGAGGATACTCGTCGACGGCCACCTGAAGCCAACTTCTGCCTGCGAGAAAGGACGACGATGCATCGACGTCTATTAGGGGCTTAAACGGTTTTTAAACTGGGAAAGGTAGCCCATCGAAGTGTCAGAGACGCAACAATGACGTGGGCAAACATTCCGATATACAGGACCACCCGGGGTACGACGTTTCACGTCGTACTGTGTGAATCGAAGAATTCATGGGGGAAGATCGAAGATTTTTGGAATCGAATAAAGTGAAGAAAACGATGGAATTGAAGGAGGATTTTATATTTATATTATAATAATTTGACGAATTATACTTGAAAAGAATCTTATTTAATATAATATTCTGATTGACTTGATTGGTCAGTTTAAAGAACTTTTAAAGAAAAATTATTCCTAAAATAAAATGATAAATACAAATATCGCTTATAAAGTGAAACATATCGGCAAGTGTTGCTCCATTTTCGCGAGTCGTTGAAACGGAATCAATGGTGTCTTCGCGCCGGGTGTTCTTCCTGTTGCGCAACCTCCTTTGGATAAACGTCCACGGGGTGTCGAGTAGAGAATACAACCTCCTGAAAGGTGTTTCCAATCTTGTTGAGTAATATCATTTACGAGGAACCAGAACGAGGCAAGTCGTTCTATCAATTTAAACGCACGAAAATAATCATTTATTATATTAATATGGATGATATTGACATTAGATATGATAAATATTTAAATATATTGTATATAAATGATATATTAAAATGAAATGCGTTATCACAATTTTACGCCAAAAACGTATTTATTTTTTCAATATAACACGTTAAAATGTTAACGACGAAAAAAAAATTTAAACAATGAATAGCTCGAAGACAATTCGAGAATGAAATATATAAGTCACAATGAGGAATCACACACTTTCCAAAATCCTAATATCACATTGCAAGAGGATTTCTCTCGTAATCTGGGATTAAGGTGGGCAAGGATCGCTGTAATCCGGCTCACGTTTGACATGGGGACGTTTAACTCTATAAACGACTTTTCTCCTTTGGTGTCAGATTTTGACTTCTGAGGTTTATTTGGCGAAAACGAATAACGACCAAAATCATCAGCATAATTATTAAGTATATGAATCCTCTCTCTCTCTCTCTCTCTCTCTGTCTACACCTGTTTCCTCTATTAAATGTTAATCAAGAATTAAAATGCGGGAAGGAAGAAAATAAAATAGATTATATGTTACAGTGCCGAGAAGTGCAACAACATTAGCAGAAGAAATTGAATCCGCGCGATAATGTGGAAAATTCGGTAAGCTTAGGATAATACGTGCATTAAATTTCTTGCGTTTGGACACGGTAGCTTGGACGGGTACCAGCAACCCTGCTGAGACATTCGTTCAAGCTCGTCGACACCCTCCTACCGACGCGCTGATATATGACAGTACGGCCTTATGACTTCTCTCCTACGGTGCAATTCACCCTATGTTTCTCCCTTTCTTTTACAAATCCATTGCACGTCGATATTAAACGCACTTATATAAGGTATATATCGAATGGGACGTTGATGTGTTCACCTTCGAAGAATCAATTCCAGGAAGAACAGATTCGGATCAATAAAAGTTGATATTAAAAAGATTATATCGAGATTTATCAAGATTTATTATTTATTAAGTTATTAAGCAAGGTTTTGAACGGTCGTAATTCTTCCTTTCTTTTTAAAAAAAATTAAACACAAAAAGGAAGAAGAAGAGGGGAATTTCTTCCTCAACACAATGTAATCGAATAGTCGGCCGATAATCTGCTCGAGGGGAGGACTAATTGAATTCGAGTTTTTTTCCAACCCGCAATCTGGCCAACCACCCCTCGAAACCTTCCCCACCCCGAAATCAACCGAAAACATTTATGTATGCGGCCACGAGCTGTCGTGGAGCAAGAACGTATTGCAACGGCAAAGCGATGGAAAGAAGGGGAGGGGGGGAGGGGAGAAAAAAAACGGAAGGAGGGCAGGGATAGGCTTGCACGCGGTAACCGTCCCTTCCGGTAGGCGAAAGGGCGCAACCCTCGATTCCTGTACCAGCCCTTCACCGCCAGTCGACCCTATGACTCGAGAATGGGGATCCTTTGATCCTCGAATTTCTGGGGTTCTGGTGACGCCATCTTGAATTTAATTGTCAGGAAAATGGTGGTGACGCCTCTGATTATTTTAATGTTAATATACATGTTTGGTGTTTGATTTATTTAATATTTATCTATGGATAATTTTTAAAATTTTAAAAGAATGTGATTTTTTTTCTTGATACTTCTTATTTAATAATTTAATTTGATTTTTGATAATTATTTTACCGACAAAAAGTCATGTGTGTAAAATAAGTACAAAAGAATTTGGAGAAAAATAACACGGATAAATAGAAGAAATAATTCATACTAAATACTAGTTTAAAGTTGATAAATTTTAGATTTTTGATTTGTAAGTATAGGATTTAAATTTCTAATTAAAAAGATTCGTGATTAATTATAAAGATAAATCTTTTTTTTAGTATTAAATGTTTTCTTAATATAAATTGAGATAGTTAAGGAAGACGTGGATTTTGAAAATAAGAACAAAGTTTAGATAGTTATTATTAAAAATAAATAACAATTTATTTATCGTTAAATATAGTATATATATTATAATCTCTATGTATAAATGCCTTCGTATTGCATTATATAATATTCGACTAGTATCGATAAAAAGGACATAGTATCAAAAATAGGAATAATCTTGACAAACATTCAATGATTCTTCATAAAACGAAGAATCAAGGCAACAATTAATGTTTAATGGATACAACCGTTGTATATGAAATATACAAAATGTCTCATTTTAATCTCGAATTCGATATAATATAATATCTAAAAAATTTTCAACTCGAAAACTTTGCTTCTTTTCACGAAATAATTGTTTCAAAGATTTTATTTTTTTGGTCCCCAATTTTTTTTACACACCCTATGTGTAAATATTACCCTACTTCAAAATATACAAAAGAAAAAGCATAATGTCAATTCAATATAATGCGAAATATTATCGAAATTTTAATTTCGTTCGTATAAATGTATCACGTTGGATAGAAATATGGGAAAAATCCCATATTTTGAGGTAGAGTATTTCCTAAACCGATCATTCCCAACGTAGCCGCCGACATCCTATATGGATCACGATTCTCGTGTGTTCTCATATGCTTCTTCAAGTGATCTTTCCTACCAAAACACTTTCCACAAATTATGCAAGCGTGTGGACGAAGTCCAGTGTGGATTCTCTTGTGCCTCGTCAACTCTTCGTTCCTGGTAAACGATTTGCCGCAATCCTTCGCGTCGCATTTGAACGGTCTTTCACCTGTGTAATCGAAAAATATTTTAACACATTAAAAATGTTTCATCGGTGAAACAAAAATCGAAAGTTTTCCAAATTTGAAAGATTGAAAAAAAGAAAAAGAAATTACTTGATATTCAAAGTTAAAAAGAATTATAATTTTAAAACTTTTTCGACTCTTAAACTCGTAAATTAAATATATTGGAATTAAAACACGTAAGAATAACTGTTCGAAAACATTCGATACACTCGATCAAAACAAATTTCCACGATATAAAATTCGAATAACGAACGTCTCTCTACCGGTCGTCGCTCTATCCACAACAAATTCAAGAAACAAAAATAGAAAGATGCTTACCTGTGTGTATCCTGATGTGCCCCTTTAGTTGCCCGTTATTGCTGAATGCGACGTCGCAGTGTTCGCACCTGAACTTTTTCGGCCGCAATTTCCTCATTTGCTTCGCGACCGCTTCCTGCCTCTGGAGCATCCCCACAGCATGCTCCACGAATGGCGCTTGTAATTCTTGCGGGAAGGTGTGCAACACCGAAGGGAATCCGCGATAATAAAACGGGTGCCCCGTGGTCGCTGTCGTCGAGGCAGTTGGCAACGATGAGACCACGGGATCAAGCCACGGGCCATCAGAGCGCAGGGAATCGGGCTCGTTCGAAACGGTCATCCCCTGAAGATAATCGATCGAGCAACGCGGCGCGTCGTACAACGAGCGGCCATTTAAACGCGATGAACGAGATTCAGGAGGATTGGAGAGAGGGGCGTCCGTCCCAGAAGGCAGTGGGCAGTCGAGAACGGAATCTTTCGACGATTCCAGACTCCCGTTCCTGCTCTCGTCCTCCACTTTTGACGATGAGCTGCTCGTCGTTCTGACGGAGGAATCGCTCTTCCTTCTTCTCCGCCTTCCGAAAGAGCGAGACGACAAAGGGATCGAGTCGACAGCCCCCCTTTCGAAACCGGAATATCGACGATCCTCGTGTTTCACATCCTTCTTAATTGCATCTTCTTGCTCCTCGATCCTGTTTTCCCTCGTGGTCGCATCACGATTGTCCCACGGCCTGAAGAAACTGGTGTCCCTGTCCTCAAACATATTCCTCCCGCTATCGAACAGTACACTTTCGAGCAACAACAGCAATATTCGCGGCTCGCATCTATTCCACCAAACTGAATTTTTTTCAAAGTCTTTCGTTACCTTGCTTGACGAGCCTCTCCACTCGATCGAGGAATGATTTAAGGCTCCTCGAAAGGGAAGCGAGATACAAGCGAATTGAACTGTACGATGCGAAAAATGCGGGGAAGCTATACGATCGACCGATATACTCACTGGAGCAAAGCTTACCCCAGAGTTATATACGAACGATGGTGTCCACCCTCCAGTCCGGATTGGATCGTTCCATCGAGGAAGGATGGTGGCACTCGCCCCTGCCACCAGGCGAGGGAGGAAGGGGCACCCTTTCTAGTCGGTAAGGGCGAAGGTAGGTTTTAGGAGGGCCGGTCGAGGGCTACGCGATACGCAGCCCCTTTTGTCGGGGATTAATCGGTCGCCACGGCCGCGCGGGGCTGTTTGCCCTTTTGTCACGAATGACGAGCCGATGGTATCGCGGAGATAGAAAAGGAGGAAAGAGAACGTGGACGGAGATATTGGAGGAGGGGTCGCCCCACCTCTCGATAAGCCCTCCGCTAATATTTTTCTTGATCTTAGCGGTTCAGTACGCTTGTATTCTTTTTAACGGGATTGACGTTGCATATTTTGAACACGTAGAGAGTTTTAATCGATTAAAGGAACAACGGTTGGAATTAAAATTTATATCGAATGTTTTATTACGTTTTGTTCTCTTGATAGATTTCTGATCTTGATTTCCTTTTTTCGCGTTTTAATCTCTATCGAATACAGTCCTTTTTTTTTTTTTTTTGAGTTTGGTTTTATGCAATTGACGATTGCTGTTTTCTGTGTTGAGAGAGATTGGAGAAAACTTTGAATTGTATCGATCGAATTTATAGAATTTGTCATTTTGTATTTGAATAGTAGTGGATCGTTCGATGAATATCGTAAATGTATCAAGAGATTTGAATAATCTGCTCTTATGAATTTTTGTAACGTATATACAAATACAACGGATGGTTTTGCTTAAACTGTTCAATTTTGATTTCTGTTCTATGAATTTATGCGATATCAGATCATAACGTTATATTAAACAATGATCGAAAATTTATTATTTATTTTTTATTTATATTATTATTTATTTATATTATTATTTATTTAAAAAATATATGGAACAGAAATGAAATTGAATAATCTAACGTATGATCAAATTTTGTTGTAAGTTTTAATCAAACGATATCCATCGAAAATTAATAATTCGAATTTGATAATCAATTCCAATGTATAAAACGTAGAAATGTAGAAATGAGTGAAAATAAATCTAAATGAGTCAAAAGTGAGTTAAAACCAGTTGAATCGGATCAAAATAAGTTAAAAAAATTTGTGCTTTCACTTTTATGAGTAGAGATAATAAACCGAATATCTCTAAAAAATTTTCTCTTCTCCCCAATTAATAAAATTATTTTCAAAGAGAAATGTCATAGAATATTTGTTAAAAAAATATATTTGATACCGGCTTTTATGTTTTATCACCTTCCAAACATAATTTTTTCCCTCTCCAAATTATAATTATCTTTCTCAATCAGAAAGATTTTCGTTTTTCAAATTCGAAATTCATTCCTCTCGACGTTTTATTACACGTGTACGTGTAATCGAGCTTTTCTATACCGTCGCGTGACAGGAAGCAAGGATAAATAATTTATACGATGGCCGATCCGATCGAAGCGGCGAGGTAGGCACTTTAAACACAATGAAAATGGGACAGTCTGGTAACGTCGTGATCTCTATGGGATGTATTCTGCAGAAGTTACGAGGGTGGAGCTCTGCAAAAGCGTTTCGTTGATTTATTGTAACACTCGAGGTTGAGCTACCCTTCGCGAGAACGAGCCATCGGCCTCCGTTGCCACCTATTTTCCCTCCAAATCCCCTCCGTCTCTCTTCCGCTCGTAGAACGTTTCGTCCATCCCTTTTGTCCTCGAAAATACGATACAAAATCAGCTTCCAGACACCAACGATACCGAGAACAACCTTCTTTCCTGGTCTTCGTCACAAAATCATCGCCGAATATCCATTTTCGATCCGTCACCGTTTACACGATTAGGCGATTACTATGCATACGTTTAATCAGCGATTGTTCAATAGTAAATAGGAGAAAAGAGGGAAAGAGGGAAATCTCGAAAACGTGGATTAACACGTATAGAATATTTAAATAAGTGAAAAGGAACGTAAATTTTTTCGAAATGAAATTTTTTTATTATTTTAAATAAATAGATACTTCTAGAAATAAATTTTGTATAGCTTATGTATTATATTTATAACACATGTATATAAAATAATTCATGGGAAAATGTTAACGATTCAAATAAATTTCAAATCAAAATTTATTTTAATAGCATAATGAATTAGTCAAATATTCATTTTATATTTATTTAATAATATTTTTTTTTATATTTCATATTGAATTTTGTTATAATTTATCCTGACAAAACAAAAAATTGTATAATTTATTAATGATTTAATAAATAAATCAAATAATTCATAATAAATAAATATTTGCATATTAAGGTTATATAATTATAAATTATGAAAATTATAATTTCTGGATTATTATAGTTATGGTTAAGAAATTTGTATAGCATATTTGAACAAGTATGTTTGTAAAAGATTACGCATGTGAACAAGTAAATATTTAGTTGACATAGAACGGTCGAGCATTTTTTTATATGTTTCAGCCTTGACAATCCATTTGAAATAACTTTCTTCCAATCGACAAAGAAATATCATTTTAAAATTTAAATTTTTCAAATAGATTCAATTTCATTAGTCAAACGTATTTTTCCTTTCTAGAAAAAAAGAAAATCTTCTTTAAATTCCCAAAATTTATTTCTTAACGACTTGCTAATTAATAATTATAATGTAATATTAATTATAATAGCTAACAATTTTTCAAAATCGAAAAATTTTAAAAAACAATACTGCAAAAACTTTTTTTTCAAATTTTAGAAATCTAGTATGTTTAGTCAGGAAACAAGATAACTTTCTTTTCTACGTTGAGAAAACGTAGCATTCTGTCGCAATTTTGATGGATCAGCCGAATTCGAACAAGAATCCCTCAATCTGTCTTATTTTTCAATCTGAACGTCATAACAACGACTTGTAGCAAGAAAATCTCTAAATGATTTTGTTGCAAAATTTATCCTCGACTTTTAATCTGATATTGATTGAATAATCATTTTAATACTTTCTTTATTATAAAAAATATTCTATACATTATATTTTTGATTTTATAAATATAATACTTCTTTTAATAACTGGAATTTTCATTATATTCTGAACTATATTATATACTGAACATAAAATCAAGAGAAATATTTTGAAGATAAAAAAATTATCTATAGTTGTATCTATAGATAATATGATAATATAAATTTTATGCTCAAAATATCGTTAGCAATAACAAACTTTATTTATTCTGTACAGAATTATACGATATAAAATCATATAATTGATATAAATATTAATAATATAATAATATATCATAAAAAATCAAACGAATCAACTCTAGCCAAACTAATTATTGATTTTTATAGAGTACTAAAATATTAACTACTAAAATATTTTGATATTATAAAATTAAAAAACTTTTAGAAATATAAATTTGATCATTCTGAATGATTCGATTTTGAACGATCGCGCGCATAAACGGATTATAGGAATAAAAACCTAACAAATATAAATATCTCTAATAATAAGTAGCTAGGTATTAATTTATTATGATTTTTCTGGTTAAATAACCTCAGTTTAAAACAAAAAACTTTGTAATTTATAAATGTTTTAATTTCTTTCTTTAAAGTTTGAATATATAAATATCTCTAATAATAGGTAGATATTAATTTATTATAATTTTTCTGGTTAATAACTTCAGTTCAAAACAAAAAAACTTTGTAATTTATAAATATTTTAATTTCTTTCTTTAAAATTTTAAATATTGTAAGGATAGATTAAAAAAAATTATTAAAAAAAAAGAGAAAAAAAATTGACAAAATTAAACATTTGCAAAGTTTACGAAATAGATTTTCATAATAGGTAACTAATATTCACTTGAAATTTCATAATTATAATAATAATTCATTAATAATAAACAACATTCTTTTATACAATAACATTTTTATAAAAACAATATTTATTTAACATTATCTTAAATATTTGATCAAAACTGTGTAATTTTATCTTTGTAAATAATCTTCAAAAATATATTCTTAATATGTAAAATACAAACAAATCTATATATAGGTTGCCTTACTATATATATACATATATATATTTTTTTATAGAAGTTTCATGTTTGAATTGAATGAGCCTAAAGAAGTCAATCATTCAATAAAAAAAATATGAAATAAAAAAACATTGCCATGCCACGTACCTCGTCAGATGTATTTGTACCGCTGTCAAAAGCATATGACTGATCGATTGATTCTTATTTCAATTTTTCGAAATTGTAATTTTTCCCCCAAAAATGTGTTTTTGAACTCGAATGTCAACCACACGTGGACGATTAAAGTTGACTGATTATCTATTCGAACAATATAAAGGTAAATTTTTGATCAGTTAAAATGATCATCGATCATTTATACTATTCTTAATTAATCTAGATTTATATTTTCGAAACTAATTAAAATTTATAAAAATAATATAAAAACTTGATAAAAATAGGCTATATAAAGTAAAAGTAGACTAGATAAAATAATAACACAAAAAAAATGGAAATGATTTCTAAAAATTGTTAACAATCATAATCTTGTAGATATATATAAAAAAGTTATAAAAAAGTTTAATTGTTTAAATTAAAGCTCTCTTAAAATAGAATTAAATCATCCCATCATAAATAATATCATTTTAAAAGTTTATTACAATTACAAAAAATCATTTATTATAAAGTTTTGAAACAAAATCAAGTTTTTATGAAAATTTCTAAGAAAAATAAAATA